GCCAACGGCAAAAACTAATATGCAAAACACAACGATGTGCCAAAATTTCTTTTATAATTAACGAGCCGACCCGCGGCGTATCATACACCGCTATTTAGTTGTTTTATTTTCTACTTTTCAGTCATTCATAATTTGTGAATTCGACAGTACCAATGCTGCCACTGAAAATGTATGCTTTAAAACACTATCAGTAGCTCGTTAAGGACGATAACCCTCCCCCCCCCCCCTTCTTTCCCAAACCACTACCCCCCCCCCCCCGTGAAAGTAAACTCCTCTTAGTTACCTCCCCTAAGTTTAAAATCGTTTCAAACTAAATTATCTGCCTCTAATAGTAGTCACTAAACACGGCTCTACGATTGTAAATATTTAGCGTGAACCACAGCTCACCAGACCATGTAGGGGTGGGGGTGGTAGGGAGCACGCTTACAGCTTGGTGTTTTCTATCGTCTCTAAGCAGAGAATTATATATATAGATTTTTCTATTGCGTATTTAACTAAATACGTAACAAAAGTTGAGGTTTATATGTAAATTACTTTTATTATTAAATTACATATTTTACATTCACCGCGTGTGTGTGTATGTGTGTGTGGTGGGGGGGGGGGCGAGGGAGGTGGTTAATTAGGGTAATAACTGCCTCTCTCTAAATACCTCTTGCCTACACCACTGCGATGTTAAGAATGTGAATCCAGCTTTAAAAAATTTACATTCAGTCACACCCATATATACCCTTACTTTTGTATCGCCATTGAATTTTTTTTACTCTATGTGTTTAGGGATCAGCTGATCTTCAAAACATTCGACATGGCTGACACGACCTTAAAGCACTGGTATTCAAAGAGTTCGGGGGTCAGTATTTCATTCATTTTACAGTCACTATGGTGTGGATTACATAGTACTTTTATTCTTTACATTTGATTATTTTATGCATTACATAGACTATAGTCAGTATACTATTTAAAAAAATATAGTCATTATTTTTGTTCATTACTTTGATTCATTATTTAAAAAAAAAAATTAATTAAGTTGTCAGTATTTTTTTTTTAGATTTCAGGGATAATATTTTTTTAAATTAATTCTACAGTATTTTTACAATTCAGTACTTTAATTAACAGTTACAGTTTAGTCACAGTAGTGTATTTAAATTAAATAATTCCCTTTTCGAAGTTGTCCTTGGGGCAAGTGAAGTAGAGTACACCTGTTTCTGTGTCCTAGGCAAATGAAGAGATAGCGTTGTCCGCACTATGCCCAAATGTCTTTACTTTCCCTAACCTGAGTTAGTTACCCATCAAAGCTGGGTGGACTCAGGGGACGATTTACTGTACTGAACCCGAATTCTAACTTGAAACTTTCGGATTAGCAGTGTAACGTTCTACGGCTAGGCCACACCGTCCTCCAGTTGTTATTTATCTATTTATAGTTAGCTTTATATTAAGGAAACTTGAGCTATAACATGTTTGAGCTTAAAAAAATAAGCTCGAGCTAAGTAGTCTGCCTGTCTAGAGTCTAGACTAAAGACTAAAGGCTGTGTGTAGTTGACACGCTAGTCACAACACAGGAACACTGTATGACCGCTTGCATTGAAACCGTCACGTTGATTAATGACATATGCCAAGTTTGCTGGGGAAGAACGGATTATTTATGTTGTCTTTGACGGAAAACCAGAGGCGTAGCGAGTGGGAGCGGGTGGGGCGTACATATGTCCACCGTAGGCCCATTTTTTAAATAAAAATTGAAGTATTAAAAATTTGACTGATTAAAACCATAACAATTCACACTTTCTAAAAAAAAGCCTGGATATTGGCATGAAAAGGATTAGTCTCATCAGAGGCGTAGCGACCCTTCCCGGCGCCCGGGGACAAACTTTTCATTTGCACCCCCCCCCCCTTCAAACTTTCGATTCGCACCCCCCCCCCCCCTCAAACTTTTCGTTTGCACCCCCCCCCCCCACAAACTTTTCATTTGCTGCACCCCCCCCCCCTCAAACTTTCAATTTGGCGCCCCCTAAGGTCGGCGCCCGGGGACTGTCCCCCGCCCAACACCCCTTCGCTACGCCTCTGGTGACAATGTATGACGAGGGCAAGGTAAAAATCGTATTGAAAAACTTACACGTTGTTGATAAACACTTTACATATAGTTTTTTTTTTCTTTCAGGATTCGGCGGGAATGACAGATAACTCTGACAACGAAACTTTCCGAGTGGTCGCCCCTGGCGAAAACCTTCAACCAGGGGAGCTGGAGGTGTTCATCCCCACGGCCGTCTACTACCCCCACTTTCCCGCGCAGTCGGGCTTCAACCTCTTCCTCAACGGCTGGGCGCGTCACAAGTCCGACATGAACTTCAAATGTTGTCTGATGCGTGCCGCTAAGGACGGGTCACCTGACGCCGAGACCTTGACCGAGGTCCAGACCTACAACTACCACATCTACGAGCAGTGGATCGTCGACATGCAAAACGCCGAGTTTTCCTGCTCAATTTCCAAATCTCAAATAACCAGCCTCGGAATGCTAATTTTAGCTACGTGACCTTTGCCGAGACTTCCTGTTTGCGAGCGCCACGCGAATTGTTAAAAATAGTCTACCCCGAAAGAGCCGACGGAACGGTTGGCGTGTGTTTGAAAATATCGTACGGGACGATTAACCCGGAGCACATAATCGAGTGGTTCGAATACGCACGGATGATGAACGTTACCAAAGTGTTTACCTACACTTTTGAGATAAACGAATCTGCAATGAAGGTATTCGAGTACTATGCAGGGATCGGATTTTTAGAAATGCAGCCGATACATCCAGCCAAATCAAAATGTAAGTAGATTTTACACAGTTAAAAAATTATAACGTTAAGAACATTTTAAAAAACCTTATTTTCCATGTAGACAGACCAGGATGACCTTAGCACACCACCAATATAAAAATCTTATTCGGAATGTTTTCTTCCAGACATTTTTCTCAGTGGGGGGGGGGGGGGGGGGGAAGGACTTTCGGAGGGCGAATTTGAAATTTCCGAGATGGGAAGGGGGGCGCAAGCTGGTTAACGTATTTTTTTTTCTATGTAAATTAGCTCTTTTTTTTTTATATCTCATCGGGGAGGGGGTGAGTGTCGGGGGAAGTTTCCGGAGCAGCACCCCCTATACCTCCCCGAAGAGATGCCCGAAAGATACCCTTCTACAGTGGGCAGTAGCACAGGCACGGGTCTGGAGTAGAAGGGGGGGGGGGGGTAGAACATCAGAAATAGGCTATGCGAGCATTTTGACTTCTATGTTTTTGGTTTTAAAAAAAAAAAACCCACGTAGGCCTATACACGGACACCAAAAAAATTAATAAAAATTAAGCAATTTATGCATACGGTAATAGTTGTAGATCTTAGGCACACGCCAGTGTTTCTTTCAGACATTTTTTTCTTCCCGGGGGGGGGGGGGGCACTCATAAATTTCCGTTTAGGGTGTGTAAACTTGTTAACGTATGTTTTCTAAATAAATTATTTTTAATTTTATTTTGTTCGGTGGGGGTGGGCGTTCTTCGGGTAAGGGGCAGTACCTCACACCCCCCCCCCCCTCCACCCCCAAGATGCATGAAAGAAATACTAGCACAATCTTTAAACCTTTGGCATTCAGGAGTTTTCCCTGACATTTTTCCTCGGAGTGGAGCACCTGAAATTTCCGGGGTGGAAAATGTTTAAAGTACATATTTTCAGTATTTTACCTTTTTTTTTGTGGTTGGATATTATAATGGAATATATTATAACGATTTGATGTCATTATTTATAACGCGCAGTTGGACCAAAAAGAGGCTACAACCGACCTAGATTTGAACAACAGGCGTGGGTGGATGAGGTCATGGGTGCCAACGACTGCAAGCACCGGATGTCGGGATACGATTACGTCATCGTGATGGACATGGACGAGTTCATCTGCCCACAGCGTACACTGACCTCCTACTACGATATTTTGAAGGTGTCAAATTTTAATTTTGTATTTTATTCAATCAGTTTGTTGAATTAAATTATTTTCTAAGATAGTTAAAATTATTAAAATTATTATTATTATTATTATTGTTATTATTATTATTATTATTATTATTTAAATTAAATTATTTAAATTAACTAATTATTTTAGCTAGAAAAAACATGTTTTTTTGTCAGCAAATTTTACGGTTTTTAATTTTTTTTCATGTTTTTCAATAAGGCGTCACACGGTTCTAACCGCACCCCCCCCCCCCCCCCGCCCCCGACTGGTGACGCTATTCATACGCCACTTATCCAAAGCACACTCACGAAAAAAAAATGTCCCCCAAATGTCTAATCCCATGCCTACGGGACGGCGATAGAGCGCTAGAATGCTAACCCGGAAGTCTCGAGTTCGAATCCGGGTTCAAGTCAATAAAAAGATAGATAAATACTACTCGGGGTCGGCGTGGCCTAGTGATAGGACGCTAGACTGCTAACCCGAACGTTTCGAATTCTGGTTCAATACAGTAAATCGTCACAGAGTCCACCCAGCCCAAATGGTCAACTAACTCACGTTAGGCAAAATAAAAGATGCTGGGCATCGTGCTGACCACACTATCCCTTCATATGCCGAGGTCACTGAGCTATAAAAGAAAAGCAGTTTTACTTGTTACTTTACTAAATTATCCAATTATCTCCTAGTTGCACACGATGCATTCCAGCAATCAATGTTAGCTTATCCATCCATTTCATGTAGTTGTAAAAGATGCAGTTTAAAACAGAATTGATCAAATCAACTACCCCCCCCCCCCCCCCCACACTACCCCGACAGGAGGCGTCCAAGATGAAACCAAGTGCCGGAGCTTTTGTGTTTGACTCCCATGTCATGATGCTAGACTGGGGGGAAACTAGGGTCTCGCCCATACGTGTAAGTCAAAACACACAAATACTAGTTTACTATTACTAACCAGCTTTTACTTTATATATATATATAATATACATATATATATATATATATATATATAATATACATAATTATATATAATATACATATATATATATATATATATATATATATATATATATATATATATATATATATATACGCATATATATATATATATATATATATATATATATACGCATATATATATATATATATATATATATATATATATATATATACGCATATATATACGCATATATATACGCCTATATATATATATATATATATGCATATATATATATATATATATATATATATATATATGCATATATATATATATATATATATATATATGCATATATATATATATATATATATATATATATATATATATATATATATATATATATATATATATATATATATATATATATATATATTGACTTTGTAAAAAACCGGAAACACGTGACCTCCATTATCCACACAGCTGATGAGGTACACCCAGAGAACGACGGTGCCCAACTACGACGGGCCCGACAAGAACACCAGATGGGCTTTCATGCCCCGTAGGACCTACTACGCCAGGAACAACTACGTCGATGTCAAAGGCCCGTTTACTACGTAAGTCTTTGATCATAATGAACTTGGGCGCATGTGTAGCTATGTAGAGGCTTTGCAAGAGACTTAGACTATTCCCTCCCTCCCAAACCCCACAAAAAAATGACCCTAAAAAAATTAAAGAAATAAAAAGACTATAAAAATCTGGAAATGTAGGCCTATAAAATATTTTTAAAATTTTAAGTTTCGCAAAAAATTATGACGAATTAATATTATAAAAAATATTTTAAGACCTCTTCTAAAAACCTATCAATATAAACCTACCTGTGTAAATCTGTTGCAGGTGGCAGGTCCCGTATGAGCTTTACACCTTGTTCCACTACCGCAACTGTAAATTTACCTGGAAAGGTTGTAAAGAGAGGGAGAGGGAAGAAGACAACAGCATGCTCAAATTTGAACAGCCGCTGTTGGAAAGGATCCGCCATCTACCTCTCAAGATGCTGCTGTTTAACAACACTAATTACTTTAATTACTTAATGAGTTGGAATCAGTAGATGAGACTGTTGGTAGAGGATGATGTTGTAGTTACAAGGACTCCAGCTCTCTGGGTGTGAGATCAATTTTGTTGCAAGTAAATTGCATTCAAAGTACATGTATGTATAGGAGGTGGATACTCTGTTTTCCCTACCTTCCACTACCCTTCACGCCACCCCCAGAGGTGTAGTGACTAGTGGGGTGGATGGGATATACACATGCCGACCAAGAGACATTGTCGACAAAATGGTCGCAGTCGACCAAAGTGGATACTGGCTATCAAATGTACCCGTTCGATCAAAGTTGACTCGGTCTAGCAACTTGGCTTCAGTAACCACGAGTGGACCCTGTGGTTAAAATGGAACTGGTGGATTTTAGAGTGAATCCGATATATCAAAGTGGATCCGGTGGATCTTAGTGTAGCCGGTGGATCAAAATGGACACGGTGGATCAAAATGGACACGGTGGATCAAAGTGGACGGGGTGAATTAGAGAGGATCCGGTGGATCGAAATGGACCCGGTGGATCAAAATGGACGCGGTGGATCAAAGTGGATGCGGTCGGTCAAAGTCCAGTAGATCAGCCTAAACGAACTTTTACTTTCATATTAACAAAAATGTAACCTTACTTCCTATTATACTCAATCCTTTTGACGATGGGGCGTTCTCTTAACAAGCAGAAAAAAACGTCGACTAAAGTCTAGACCTAGACCATGTCAATCATACGATCATTTCCACGCCCCTTCCCCATTACCTGGGAATTTGAGACTTTTACAGCTAATCGCTCGTCTTAAAGGCCAAGCTCTTCGTCGGAATGAATTCAAGTGTTTCTCCTTGATTACACACGATCTTCTAGTCGATTCTAGTAATCTTCAGCGTGTTCAAGTGCAATTTTAATTCATAATTTTTCGGCTTTTTGTATTTAAAAACAAACAAACATACCCAATGTATCTAGTCATATTGGCGTAGGGGGGGGGGGGGGGAGGTAGAATTTGTTATTGACGGAAGTGGAGTGAGGGTTATTAAAATATATACATGGGGACATATTTTGACAGAGGTTAGCGCTACCCCTCCACCCCCCCCCCCTTCTTCCTCCCCCCACCTTTGTTCCCACTAAACTTTTGTAAAATACATATTTTATATATCACTGTATTTAATATTTAGAACACCGCCACATAAAATACACACTGGACACTAGCTTTTTCCACTTTAAGGAAACGTTGCCCCCCCCCCCCCTCCCTCATCTTCATTACAATATAATACACACTCGTCTATTTTCATTACAGTTCGCCGCCACTCTTTTCCCACGTTAACCCACTGACTTTAACAATACACGGGGTTTATGATTAGGATTAAAACCTACAAGTTTTGGATTAGCAAGGAACCCGATCACTCGATCTAAAATAATCCAGGCCGCATGGATACATAGAATAGAGACGGCATGGTCGAATGGTAGAGCTAACGACTGCTAACCCGAAAGTCTCGAGTTCAAATTCCGGGCTCGAGTCAGTCAGTACGTCCCTGAGTCCACTCAACTCGGATGGGTATGTGACTCGCGTTAGGGAAACAAAGGCGGCCTTGCATAGCGCTGACTACACTATCCTCGTGTATGCCGAACTTTTGTTTCCAGCCTCAAATTGTCACTGTATTATGGTCATTGTGATATATGATTGTTATAATATCAATATTTCGTTGAACAGAAAAAATGCATTAGGAATTAAAGACTTTGATTACACCAAGGGACGCAAACAAGTAATTTTCCTATAATAGTTTTATCAGGTGTTACCTCCCTTTTAGGAAAGTAAAATATAGAAATTTATTTCCTTACCGGCGTACAAACACATTGGTAAATTTATGTTTGTACAATACGTGACTACAAAGGATGTCCTACACATGTGTTAACCCGTAGGATGTCCTATGCACGCAGTCCTGTTCTGTTTTAACTCTGACAATACCCTAGTTATCCTGGTGCAAGTTTAAAAGATTATAGGACTTGAAATGTAAAACACATACAAAAAGACCTCACTGGGTGTGACTTTGGCCACAAAGAATTATCTTGGAATTTTTTGGAAGTTTATATATATATATATATATATATATATATATATATATATATATATATATATATATATATATATATATATATATATATATATATATATATATATATATATATATATATATATATTGATAGATATGAGGCAGCAGGGTAAAGTGCTCCCTTTCTAATACAAAATTTTTCTCTCATAAATCAGTAGAATTTTCATGAGTAAACCCAGCTTACTAAACAGTACCTGACTCAGATAATGTGTAGTGCTGACCACAGAATCTCTTCATAAGCTGGGTACAAAAAAACAGGTGAAATTTACTTCATCTGTTGTGTACAGTCATGTTAGAAAACTTTTGCATAGATAAGCCAAGATTGCAATGGTTTTAATTACCATCACTGAACACTAGTTGCCAATGTAAAAAGATTTTTGCTCTTTACCCAAGTGAAAATACATATGACAAGTGATTAAGTGAGTAAAAAATGCATAAATGGGCAATTGTGTTTAATAACAAATTAATAACAGTGAGTTGAAAATGCACATTTCATTCAATACATGTAACATTGCTGTACAATTAATTACTGAATGTACATTAAAATAACCATAGCCTCATTACAATAAAACATGAACATTTAAATTCATAAAAGTGACTTATTAAGAATTTGAAAATATGAAAATATTGTAAGTTTCAATCTGTAAAAATCACAAGGAATCACTAAAAATCTGGAAACTAGCCAGCAGTACAAAATTTACTGTCTGCAAACCAGTAACCAGCATTACAAAATTTACTGCATGGAAACCAGTAGCCAGCAGTAAAAAAATGTACTGTCTAGAAACCAGTAGCTAGCAGTACAAAATTTACTGTCTAGAAACCAGTAGCTGGCAGTACAAAATTTACTGCATGGAAACCAGTAACCAGCAGTACACAATTATTATTTCAGAGAATCATGGCAGGAATTGGTGTGAGAGTCTGTTAAGAGTCTGCTAAGACTTCTCAGTCTGGTGAAGTGGCAACTCTAGCTGTCAACATCCTCTCTTTCTCCATCTCCTTCTCCAAAACGTGAGCTCGGGTTAGCTCCTCTTTCTGTTTCTGTTGCTGCAGTTTGACTGCCCTTTTCTAGAGTCACAGAAAATAAATTTTACAACATGTTACTGGAGTCTGTCATGTGATTGAATGGTAGAGCGTTCTACTACTAACACGAAAGTCTCGAGTTCAGATCCTAATCTCAAGTCCGTAAGACATCTCTGAGCACACCCAGCACTAATGGGTACCTGACTAACAGTAGGGAAAGTAAAGGCGGCTGAGTATAATGCTGACCACATCCCTTCATAATCCGGGTCACTGAAACAGATACACTCTACTTCACCATGCCCCGTGGGCTGTAAGGTTAAAAAAGGCACTATAGTACTCACTACTTACTTCTATAGTCACAGAATAAATAAGTAGTACTTTTACAGTGAGTCAAAATTTAAAAAAAAAATATTTTTAAACTGCCATTTTTTAATTTTTAGACTTAACTCTTTGAGTCATAACTATATGTTAAATATTATAGCTTTAGAATAAGAAATTAGCACTTTGATTAATTTGGTTTTCATCACCCGCTGATGCCCTTAAGTCACAAGTGGATCATTATTTGACCACACAATCATGTAACAATCAGTGTTTCTTCCAGACTTTTTCTACGGAGGTGGGGGGGAGGGGTGGGGGGGGGGGGGGTGGGGGGGCAGACACTGTTAAAAGTATATATTTTTTATGTAAATTCCATTTTGTTCAGGAGGGGGGAGAGTAGGTAGACTCTTTGGGGGATACCTGGAAGAAACACAGGTAACAATATAATGGGATTCCAGCTCTCTCACCTTCAATTTCTTGGCTTTCTCATGCAAATTGGTCATGTCTTTTCTCAACTTAATCAGCTTGCTGTGGTACAGCTTTGCCTTAGACATCTAGAAAAAGATTATTTGGGAGAAAATGATGTTATACATGTAAGACGCAAGGAAATTCAGAAAGTGTCATTAACAAATAGAGAAAAATTGTTTAAGTTTAAATGTTTTTACAATTTTACAAAGAAATTTCTTGTCAAAAATTCCAAAATTAGGTCAAAATTAGAGGGTGCATTTAAGTTTATGTCAACTATTTATTTTTCTGATCATACTATGGCCACCAACAGCTGTAATTATTTAATAAACAAACCGCTAAATGTTTTTGTAAAGTTATATTACAATTTATCAAGTACTTCTGCTTTTGTGGATTTTTTTGTGAATTTTATTATAAGTATCCAAAAAAAAACATATTTTCTTCAAGAAAAGTAAAAAAAAAATTTTTTACAATGGTACATTTTTTTTAACTTGTTACTATACAAATCAATTTTTTAGATAATATTCAGAAAGGAAAAAAAATGGACCCTGGCGGTGTATGTATCGCCTTAAGAGTTGTTTTTTGTTTTTACTACAAATTCTTTCTTTAATTAATACTCGTTTAGTTTTTAAAACATGGAGCGGTATTGCCAGGCAGTAGGAAGTATTACTGCTAACTTGTAAGTCTGGAGTTCAGTTTTTGGGAAAGTAGAGGCAGCTGACCACAATATCCCTTAAAATGCCAAGGTCAAAGAAACAAATGAAACACGTACTTTACATGCCCTGTAAACCTTATGGTTTATAAGGGTACTTAAGTTTTTTACACTATCACTTAAGATGCAGATATCATGAAAACAGATGAACTCTACTTCATCTACCCTTGTGATCATCAGGGTGTCAGTTTAATTTTTAACTAAAAGAATAAACAAAGATTTACTGTTTTCTCCAGGTCTATAAGGGCTGGACAGTCCACAAATTTATTGTTTTCTTGCTGCACAGTTTCAATGAGAACATTCTGACTAGATCTGCCAAAAAAGTAAACATTTTTTAAAATTCTTGGTGTATATTTCCTAGAAGAACATTTCGACTTAATCTTGCAATAAGCACAAAGTAAACATAAATACTAGTGAATTTCTCATTCAAGATCTGGCTGTTCATCAGGTGGATTGAAAAATACAAAGATTTTTTTATTTTTGGGAATATAAAAGCTTGTTGTATTAAGTATTATGTCATTATTATTTTACTTATTAGTAAGCCTATTAGGATAATTGGTTGACTAAAACATTGTACACTAATTTAATGCATTGTGTGTGAAATGTGTGACACTAACAGTACATTATAGTAATGATCAATAAATTTAAAAAAAAAAATTGGCATTTAATTATTGCAAAGCTTATGCCACATTATATTTTTATCAGATCTTGACCTACGTGTCAAGTTTGAAACAAACTAGATCTGTAAAAATGGGTGCAATTTTGTTTTCAAATTTCACAAAAGACATCTGTAGCATAGGAAATTAAATTAAATAAAAACTTGTACAAAAATTATAAACAACCTGAAAATTGTTACCATAATGTTTAACAAGAGCTAAAAACATAAATTATTTTGCCACCACAGAACTGTGTATGAAGAAACAATATGTTCCTACTTAGTTACCACAAAGTTACATTTAAAACAGCAACATACTTGATTTGGTCTATTGCTGCTCGAGACTTCTGTAAAGACGGCAGAAATTTAGTGACGAACCCGTCAGTTAACGACTGGATAATGGCTGGATCAATGGTGATATCCGCTGGTCAACAACAAGTTGTAGAATGACAGTTAGTGGCATGGGGGAGAGAGTGAGCAAACAACTATATTTTCTAGTCTGTATTAACACATAGGGTATAGAGTGGTCTAGCGATAGAGCGCTAGATTGCTAACCCAAATGGCTCGAGTTCGGATCTGGGTTCAAGTCAGAGGAACATCCCTGGGTCCATCCACTTCTGATAGGTATCTAACTCCTGTTATGGAAAGTAAAGGCAGCTGAGAATAGTGCTAACTACACTATTCTTTCATATGCCGAGGTCAAGAAACATGAACTCTACTTCATTTGCCTAATGGATCGCTTAGTCTAAATAGGAATCTATTTTATTATTTAATATAAAATAATTTTTTTAGTGTTTTTTACTTATTAAACACAACATTTTCTAGCCAGTGTTATCAAATATATTAAATTGAATAATTGTTCCATTATTACATTTACAAACAACTTTTAACCATTTTATTCTGAACAAGAAATTGTTAAAAAAGTAATTTTAAATATTTTTTTTTTAAATTACAATACAGTATTTACAGTATTTTACAGATTTTATTAATAATTTAAGATTAAGCAAAATAACTGTATATATTTCTAAATATTAAAGAAAAATCTGCAAGATAGAGTCAGTCTGAAATGAAAGATATTTAAATAGCATTATTCACCATTATGGGCAGTGTAAAGGTAACAGTTCAATAGGATTAGGATTTTGGTACGGTAAAACACTAGGGTTAAGGATATAATTAGGTTTAGGTTAGATTTATTTTTTGGAAATGCAGATATCAAGTATTAACTTGATGTATTATATAATTAACGAGAAAGTATAAAAACAATAGAAATATACTAAGCTTAACCCTTAACGCGCGCCAAGCTATGATCGTGGCTTTGCTGTTACGTAACTTACAATGTGTGAGGCCACGTGGCGCACGATTTAAGGGTTAATAAATAGTTAGAATTCAAAGTCTAAAATCCAAAATAGAGTAAGACTAAAAATGATTTTGTTATTACAACTTTAGTATTTTTACTAATGATTTTAAAACTTGGATAAAAAAGTTCCAGTAGGATTTAAGCTTGGCACAGAGATGTAACTGAACATCTGGGTAATAATAAAAGAAAATTTTTCCATGCCAGAATAAAAGTACATAGCCATTTTTCTCGAACAAGATTTTCAAGATTTTTTTAAGGTGGAAATTAGAAATTTCAAGTAGTTTTCATGTAAAAATTGGAATGTAGTTTCTTTGGGTATATTTTATCAAAATTTTCAGCATAAAAATTTCTTCAAAAGGAAGTTTTCTTGAAAGAAAAACATGAAAAGTTACATCTCTTGCAGATAAACAAGATATATTTATTTTAAAAATTGTGAGGGAAGGATCATTTAATGATTAGTTTAAGTAATAATTCAGTTATTTTCTATTTAAAAGTGTAGGGGTACTGGATTACACAGGAAAGCTCTTCACAAAAAAAAGTGGGAAAAATATAACCTACTGTCCTCATATATACCATTCACCATTAATTCTGCTTCATAATTAAACTTTAACTGGTGGTGCATTTCACCTTCCTCTTCCTGACCTGTGCTAGTTTGTTTATTACTGTCATGTGCCACATCTTTATCGCTGCTTTTTACACTTCCCTTTTCAGTATCTGCTGTAGGTTCTGCTGGATCTTTTAAATTATCTTCCCCTGCTGGTTGTGAGGGTTCCTCTTTTGAAACGTCCTCTGTGGAAACGTTTTGGTCCGGATTACCTTCAGTGGTGGTGAGAGCACTATCCATTTACGCTGAAAAAAAATAATTGTGTATTGTAATAAAAGAACTGAAGCAACACTAATGTAACACTAAACAAAAAAAAATTCAACTATCAAGCTTTACAATAAAATCTTTATGACATAGGGGCCGAACTATTTTATTTATTTTGCTGGCCTAGTATGAGTATCTCATTGATTCCTTCTTCACCAGCTGACTAAGATAAAAGGAGCTATATGAACTATGGTCTAGCATGTTATGATGAATGATGAGTGGTAAGGAAAGTGTTATTACTTTTTTTACCAGCGAACTATTAGCATACTTGGGGGGTTTTTAAAACCAGTGTCCGATAATACTAATAGAGTCTTCCTAAAAAAGGGGTGTTGGGTTACTGGTTGTTAAGTTAACTAAATACACCTACACATGGCTGGATTATTAATTAATAGTATTTCTCGCTAACTTGGAGGCATGGTCGGTTGCTAACAACAATATGGCGCCCGGACCGGACGTTTGATTTCCGGCGATTTTTCGGCCAAATTCCAGAGACCTTCAACTAATTACATTTAAAAATGTTTACCACGCGCAAAATGGCGGGATTTCCGTGTCATAACAACAAACCATAAGTGGCAGGGTTAGATATGCCAGAAAAGCATTTTAAAATTTGGTTTGGAGAACGGAGGCTAAATTCAAAAGTTGGTTTCATTAAAATTAATAGAATTTAAAAAATATCAACAGTGTAGGTACAGAAATGAGCGAGAACGTAAAGCATTATTAGTTTTATCAGTCTATGAAAAAAGAAATCAAATATTGTGAGCTGTTTTTTTATAAGACCGGCGTCAGTATCACAACCAATTTATTTTTATTTTTTAAAAACCACGTGACCGCTATTTGGTTATCACTAGTGAGGAACTCTTGTGCATGGCCACTTAAAAAGTCTAACCTATTTGTGGTTTTCTTTAGCTTCAAGCTTAAGAAGAGGTGTCATGGAGAGATGTGTTGGACATGGCAGTGATTGACAATAAATATTAAATTAACTAATTTAGTTTAAAACGAACTAAAAACTCCAAAGTTAGTGCCTAATGGATTAAATATGGATGTCTATTATTCAGTGATCATGTTTAAATTGATAATTGCGTAAATTCTAAATTTAGTGAGAAAAACTATTAATTAATCATCCTAATAATGTCCATTGCTAACCCTATCCTATCTCTAACCCGAACCTCAACCCTAGTCCTATCATTCGCCTAGCCCTAATTTCTAACCCTAAAACTAGTCGAACCTAACACACCTATTTTCGAAGGAGTCTATTATTATATTAATAAAACTATTATATTATGATATACTAACAGTACAGTAAAACAGTTGAGTACAGGCACAGTTGGCCCAAAAATTAAATAAATTGCAGGCCTACATCATGCCTTCATGAAAGAGCAACTATCTATCCTTACAGTTAACGAAGTAGAATTTAATAAGGCTTGGCCTATAGTTCTACATAAATACTATTTGTTATATTTATAAAATTATTAATTGGTATGCCTCACAGGCAGGAGGATAGCGATGATGTTGAGACTTGAGAGACTGCCTATTGTTTACGGATTACGGATGTTGACAATTTAGTAACCTTATGACTTCCGCAAAAGGTCAAAAGTCAAAGGTAATATGTAAAAGAAGACAAGACAATAAAAAAACTATTTTCTTTTTATATTGACAATGAATAATGCCCAAAACACGTCAAACATTGAATAATATATGGGTAGATCTAGATCCAAGCTGTTAAACTTATTAAATTTGACGCTTAAAAAAAGTATTAAAAAATAAAAACAATAATTATTATGCAATTCTTAAAATCTAGGTAATCTAGGTTAAAAGTTAAAGTGCGTCCTAAAAAGAAGGAAAATTAAAATTTAGGATTGTAATATTCCATTTATTTTCGCTAGTCTAGATATACAATCGATCCGATAAAATATGGTTGTAAGAATAAATAAATACTAAAATTTTGTGTGAATATATACGGGTTTTTATTTTACTTTTGTTTTTATTTAAATAGGCTCTACAAGATTTGGAAGTAATAAAACAATTTATTTAAAAAACAGCTGATATAATCGAAATTGGAGTGCTTTCCCTTTGACCCATTTTCGTTTTGTTGTTTTGTAAATAACATTTAATCCATTGTTTATTTATATACAACTCACAGTTTATTATTTAATCGGTATTTTTGAGACAGTACTTTTTGTAAAATGACTTATTACTATATTATTATAATTTCCTTAAAGTATTTTATATTTAATTTTGCCGGTCCGTGGTTCATTATAAAATTATAGGTCAGAGGTCATATTCATCAAACATATTGATGTTTGGAGTATAATTATTGAATATTGACATAACTCTTACCTATAGTTTTCAGAAAAAATAGGTATACAATGATTATTATAACTTGCATAAAATTATAACTGCGATCAAAACATGTTTAAAACATTCTGTTAAAAAAAAACTTTGGTGATGCGCAATCGTGAAGTCACGTGACCTACGATGGGAACAACATTCATGATGATAAACAGGTCCGACGATCTATTCAGAACACAGCAGCTAAAACTCTGTTGAGCAGTTAATGTATGGCTCTTATGGCAGGCTGATAAGACCCTTGGACACTTTTCTAGGCTGACTACAAAGACTTCAGTGAAAATGATTGATAAATCAAGAACAACTTTCCCCCCTCTGGTTGATTAAATATGAAGCCCAAAAAAGGTAAGAGCTCAGCTGTGTTTTTTTTTTGGTTAGTCGTTGTTAACCGTTGCTTTAACGTTACTCTCGCTCTGGCTGCTACCCCGACAAAATCAGCTGTTTTTAATAAATGGCCACGTATCATCAGTCATCAGTACTGTTACTCTGTGGCATAGATTGATTAATACGTGTACAAAAGCTAAAAAGGTAGATCTTCTAGTTAGTCACCACTCACCAGAATGTTATTTCTTCTCCACATTACGAGACCCCAAAACATTAAAACATTAAATTTATTTCAAACAACAAAGAATGTTTTATTTACTAAAAAGTAAAAAAGCGTAACAAACAGATGGGGGTGGGGCTAGAGTGGCAGTGTAAACATCTAGGTCTACTGTATAAGTACATTATTAATAATGTAATTTAATGTTGCTTTACTTTTGAAGGAAACTTAATACAATTGTAAATGTAATATTTTAATTATATTATGTTATTAATAATTAGCCTAATTGATCTTTTGTGTGTAGTCCCACATAGATTTTTCATTCATATTTAATATTTATTTCTTGTGCTGTGAATTAATTCAGTTTAAAAGTTGGTAGCCAACAAACATTTCTTTCCTATTTTAACTAGGCCTATTGGAGGTCCTATTTTTTTTTATCTATTTGAGCAACATTTTGTGGCTCATTTTTAAAAAGATGTTATAAAAAATTGAAAGAAAACATTTCTCCCATAATACTAAAGGTATTTAAAATACCATAAAGCTAAAACTTGATAAGACATGTCCTTAATTTTCTGGAACTTCAAATCCTGTGTCATCATGCTCAGATCAATAATATTCTAGACAAAGGTGAATGGGTTGAGACAAAGAATCAATTTTTGGCCTATGCCTCCAGTAGTCTACATTCTACAGTATTTATATCTGCCATTTAGAAATTCATTCTATATTGGCTACTTCATTAATGCAGTTTTAAAATTCTGTTTTAGTTTTATTATGTATAGGATTTTGGTATTCTAGAACTAGTTATTGATTGAAATTCTCATTATAATGGTCGATTTTATTCTTTGTAAGAATGAAGTTGATCTACTTCACAGGTTTAGGTTAGGACTATTAGTTTAAAAAAAAACAAAAAACAACTGATTGTTGAAATCACATCTGAGTCTATCCAGCACAAAGATTTTCTTCACAAACTTAATATCGTGTATGCTGTGTTTTTGTTCTGAGTGTTACAATTGGCGACAGTTGGTACTGTAAATACTAAGAAACATTCAAAAGTAGGAACTATCAGCTTATGTGGTTAGAGTTTGGGTTTTATGTTAATTTTAAATGATGGTTGTGTAAAAGAGATAATGGCGGTGCTATTTTGTAGGACTTGGTAACTGATAGTGACATAAGATGTTACATTTTAAAAAGATTTTTGCCTCGAATGTTATACTCATTTTCACAAACAAACCAGACCCCACCCTCCCTCCCCCTCTCAATCCTCAGGTACTTGACTTCATTTACTGACAACCCTTAAGTTAATTTCTTTCACAACCATCTTTACTTTTTATTTGCTTGGTGGTATATCAGTATGTAATGATTGAGCTATCGTTATAGAACACTTGTTTTTTTTTGTTATGATTTTGATGTATATAACCACATAGGCATATTTCAATGGTTTTTTAAGTGTTTGCTTTTTAATGAAACTATACTTATTGGATAAAAAGTGGTGTTTATTCTTTAAGTTATCTAAAGAAAAATGTTTTGTCTACTATTACTCATTGCGTGCATGATATCTCCCATAGGTGTTGCAAATTGAGTCAGTTCTTAAAACATTAGTGTGCCAAAAATGTTAATGAATTGTATAACATTTCCCTGTGTCTTGATGGGGGGGGGGGGGGGGGGGATTCTGTGTGTAAGAGTTGGGGGGGGGGGGTGATTGGATGCATAGGAAGTAAAATGGGATTGTTACCTATATAATAGTAATACAATCTTAAAGGCTTTGGTCTGAGGTTATTCTGTCTTAATGTTTTTGTTTCAATTTTAAAACTCTCTGTTCAGCAAATCACATAAGCAGATGTATGGTTTTTATTTATGTAGTAAATATGTTTGGTAATTAGCTTGATTCATTGTGTGCTGTTTGTAATGATAACTGCAGTTTGCCAAATGTATAATTAAACTGGACATGGGTCAGTGTTTAAAAGATTTAGATGTGGGTGATTTTGTAAAGGAACTGGGCTTGAGTCGGTGTTTAAAGGAACTGGGCATGGGTCAGTGTTTACAGCAACTGGACGTGGGTCAGTGTTTAAAGGAACTGGACATGGGTCAGTGTTTAAAGGAACTGGGCATGGGGGTCAGTGTTTAAAGAAACTGGATGTAGGTCAGTGTTTAAAGGAAATGGACGTGGGTCAGTGTTTAAAGGAACTGGATGTGGGTCAGTGTTTAAAGAGACTGGACATGGGTCAGTGTTTAAAGGAACAGTCCTTGGGTCAGTGTTTAAAGAAACTGGATGTGGGTCAGTGTTTAAAGAGACTGGACATGGGTCAGTGTTTAAAGGAACAGTCCTTGGGTCAGTGTTTAAAGAAACTGGATGTGGGTCAGTGTTTAAAGAGACTGGACATGGATCAATGAGATTAAATATAATGTCCTCTACCTTAGGATTTTGCACGCCCTCTTTATACCACTATCTTAATTCCTTCTACACCCCTCTTCTCCATACACCATGAATGTTTAATCACCTCTTTTATTGAACCAAGTAGCAAGTTGATGAATTCCTAATGTTGTGCATTCATGTCAAATGTTCGTAGACTAGATCAATAACTCCCATAACACCAAAAATCATAACTAATAAACAGACCAAAACAAAATTTTATCCCTACGTTGGGTAACGTTTTTGGAAGTTTGCTGAGCATATACCGATGTTGAATGTAGTAGATCACATATGTAAGATCGTAGATTACGTCTATGTGTCAGTTATAGCGGCTTGAAACCAGGCAGCAGCATGGCGTACTGAATAAAATAAAACATCTGACATAACAGAAGTGCATGTAGATTTTTACACATATTGTTTTGATAATCTTCTCCTGTTAACAGCAGATGTGTTTTTTAGGCTGTTATAGAGTCTATATCTACAAGCAAAGCCAGATGTATGCTGACAAAAATGTATATCTCCTATCAGCTGTAGTAGTAGTAAAGTTCCCTTGGTATAGTTTGGTCAGAACTATGCCCAGTCGCCTCCCAAACATGAGTAAGGTACCCATCAGAGCTGAGTGGACTCTGGGAACTTTTACTGACTTGAATCTGGGTTTGAACTCAAGACTTTAGGGTTAGCGATCTAACGCTCTACCGCTAGGTCACACCGTCTCACCCTATCAACTATGGGGAGTTGAAATTAATATTGTAATATTCTAAAAGGATTTTTGTTTTTAGTTTAGCGTTTATTGAATTTTACTTTTCACTATGTCAGTAAATGAGTAAAGCACTGTAAAATATCTGATAAACCTTATGGTAAATCAGTTTGAGTTCTTCTGTCTGTCTTACCTCATCATCAGAAAGAAGGTTATAGTCAATGCTATGCCAATTCGCCTCACCTGCCTAGTCAGGTACCCATTAGAGCTGGGTGGACTCCATGACATACTAGCTGAATCTCTTGACATTTGAGTTAGTGATCATGTGGTCAACCACTCACCACATTTCTTCTGTGAGTCACCATCACCATCATTCTTGTGGCCCTTCTCCCCTGTGGAACAAAGGGACACAACCACATATCTCCATTATACTCAGTATTTGGTTATTCCTCCAAGCTGGGTCCATGACATTCCAGTCTCTTGTGCTTCACTAACAACTGACGTTTTCAGAGTTTGTTTTGCCCTTTCTACTTTCCTCTTTTCCATGGGGATTCCAATCTCATTCCTCCACTAAT